AAATAAACCATAATGTTGTAAGAATAATGAGAGGAATTTGAACAATGTCAAAGACTGAAAGGGTGAATATGGATACGAAATTGCGATATCGCTTTGAGTCTCAAGATCACGTCTCAATTAGGTTGTTAAAATAAAGCATAATCTTATAGGGCTATAGATATATTTCATCCACTAAATGATGAGGAAAGTGTATGCACAAGGACAGCGCATTAACGCTTTGCCTTTATTGAGGAGCCAATTTTCCTAGTCTATTGCTGCATTCAAGCTGGGCTTACATAGATAAAAACTTTGAACGTCTCAAAGGAAATAAGGAAATTAAAAGCATCGATAAGAACTGACACTAGTGAAAAATAGACTTATAAAGCCTTGTTAGGTCTATCCATGAAGTGATTATTACGAGGCAAGCCTCAAACTTCGATTGTAACCTAATTATAGATACATACTCTGTATTGAAACAAGACCACGATACGCTCTGAAGAGCCGTACATCACTAAAGATACAATGGTAACTAAATAGGGTGCCATGAAATATCTTGCGGTGCGAATTTTAAAGGGGAATTCACACAACATTATGAACATAAAATGCCCATCCAAAAATATGAAGCCTGATAATAGCGAATTTAAACAAAGAAATTGACAAGGTATGATACGAATAAATAGTTAGGCTATTGCGCTTATTTGTATCTTCAGTGTTCGAAGTTTATTTCTTTCAAGTAAAATTAAACGTTTATGATAATTATATCTGGTTGGATGCTAATTTAGTTATTTTAAATTGGAAATAATTAGCACATTTTTCTGGGGCATTGGAAACAGAATGAAAAGTATGCTGAATTAGTGAGAACAAGTCCGTTATCTCTATAGCATAGCAAGAGCCATGGACCACAAAATGGGGATTTTGAAATAGAAATAGGATTGTGCAGGCGGACACAAAGCTAGGATAAGCTCGTTCTCCCGACATAAATTGATTTTCAAGAAGTATGTTAAGCAATGAAATTAATCACAACACTCCAAATGACAGCACGAGGTATACATAAGGACACCAACTTCATAGACCTTGTAACCAGTATTGTGTTATCATCAGACTCAGTTTAATGAAATCATCCTAAGAGGCATACTATACAAAATCGAATTGCTAAGTATATTATGCGATAAAATATGATTCGTGGATTCGTATATTTTATGGGGGGAGTGAAGTGAAAACAATTCGCTTGGTTGAATAGGTGTAAGGAACTAAGTAAATTACCATAACCTGATATTAATACCCAATAGACTGCATCAAATGTAACCCGCCCAGTACAAAGCTCTAATTAAAAGATAATTTTTCAAGATAGGTATGCACTATATGAAAAATCTAATAAACAGCACCGAATAAAATGATATGCAAGTAAATAATAGGCAGAGACGATAGAATATGAGCTCACAGTTCTTTCTCCATAAGCTTCTTTACGATCTTCGATCCTTTCGCCGTTGTGCCGTCCTGCTTGTTGCATGCAATTAATATGGGAGGATTGGACTTTGAAATAATTGGATCAGTAAGAATATTATATAAAAATCTAATAAACAAAAATCTAATAAACATATATATTACTCGGCGGTATCTTTTAAGTCGTAGGAAATAGTATTTGAGTCCACAACGAATATAAGAGCTCTGGGGGGGTAAGAAAAACAAGACACTTACTTAAGCGAAGATTTATGTCTATCAAAAAATTCATACCGAAGTTTCTCATGTCCTGGAATATCAACAATATTGAGTTTCATTTTCTGCTTTAATAAATAAGGAATACTTACATCGGAACCGTAGGGACCCTTATTCTCTTTCAGGGAGGTAAATGTCATGGCATGTGAATTATGTACAAGCTTATAGAATATTGTGGTTTTTCCAGATTCACAAATTCCTAATAAGATCACATCAGTCTTCTTATGCCTTTTTAAAAGGTATATTAATATAACAGTCAAGAGACACAGAAGGATAGATGAGAGAACGGGGAGCATGACGAAGAACGCGGAACTGGAATATGTAATGCAAAACAACGGTCTACAACACCAAATATGTGACTTATATTTATAAATAATTACATGGGAATTATGACCGAATATTTTGTTTGTAATGGTTATGTAGGGGCCGCGTGCCTTAGCAGTCCTCATGGTTACTCGTTCAGGCATCTGCTTGGGTTCTTGCAAATGGAAGTTGATGGTGATAGCAAGCTAGATCCCGAGCTAAACAAGCAGCATCGCACAATGAAGAGTGCGTCAAAGATCCCGAAGATAAGAATCCGGAAGCAACGTGCGCGTGCAAAAAAATGGTCGAGCGATTGTTCCTATTCAAGTCTTTCTGACACTCCTTATGGTATGCATATTTGGCCGTACTGCCATATTATTTAGTGTTTTTTATACTAATCCCTCCAAATCTGAATTCATTATTATGCTTAGGTAAGGCCACTCCACCTAATATGCTTCATGGTTATGTCATAGTTACCCATACGTGTGTATACTTATTTACCTTTAATATTTCTTCCATTATTTTCTCATACAAAGGTTTGAATTACTCCCTAGAATCATGGAAAACTTCTTCGAAGCTGTCAGATTTGAATCATGCGAAGGCAAAACAAATAAAATCACTTAACAGGACAAGCAATGGCCATGCATCGTCTTCTCTGAATCTTCCTCATTCCTATATGCTCAAGGCATCAAGCTCTCGTAATTCTAATATTTTTATTTTAAATATCACATAATATGCACTATTGACTTAATTTACTCAGCACTCTTAAGTACATATATCACCACATGGCAATCTTTTAAATACTACTTTATTTCTAAGATTTATTTATGTTCGTAAACCGTTTATTTTGCTTTTATGCCTTTTCGCTAAATGCACGTATAGTTTCGGATGTGGAAATATTTTCAGTCGACCCTTGCTTACGTCAATCAGAGGCCAAACCTCCTCGCGACTATGCCTCGATTACGACAGGGCCACTGGCTTCTCGTAATTGTATTGCCTCAGTTCGGTTAGCTGACACTGCATCTTCGCCACATTCTGCAGGCACTGGTAGTGGCCATTTTGCTTCTATGGCGGCGGCATTTACTGCCAGAACTATTTATAGACTGAGTCAGCGTGTAGCTCGATTGAGTGCTAGTGATCAGACGTCCACGAATCCGTTGCGTACTGAGGAACATGATGCCGAATACACAGAGCATGCAGGTGGAGGGGCTTGTGGGCGACCACTAGTTCGTCGCTTCGATCACTCTAGTGGGCATCTCAGACCTCAGAATGGAAGTGGCCTCAGGCTTAATAATGATATTCATCTTGATGACGAGGACGAAGAGGAAGAAGCCAGAGCAGGTGGAGTTGCCTTTTGTGTTTCTGAGGCCACTCAGTCGTCCCAAGAGCGTATGAAAAGGCGTTGCGGTGGTCTAGATATTGGTCTTGGATCCCATACCATCAGCTCACAGCAGATCAGCCCAGCATTCGATTCAAAGTAAGTCTGACTTTCACATAAAGTTATGCTACTAACAGGTTGGATTTCGAAATGATATCTAAAAACTACTTTGCTCTTAACCTAGGTCAGTTCGGCAAACCTGATCCCTAACTCTCCAAGTCTAATAATTGATTTCTCCCATCTTGATATTAAACATTAAACATTTATATTAGTTAAGCAAATATATGGGCATGCTTACGTTATTTACAATGCTTTTTGTCTTCGTTTACTGGCTCTGATATCCATTGAATATACATTTTTCTCAGTCTTCACTCAGATTCATAAACTTTTACTAGGAACTGTAGGCTTTCAGAACTACATCTCCGCGGTTTATGTAGTGCAAAGTTATTTAGGCTTTGAAATGCACATTGAATTATTTTATTTTCTGATCCTATTTTTGAGGCCATCGCATGGTGGCCTTATGTGTAGCAATTTAACAATATATTAATTATTAAGACCCTCTTACCTACAAATAGGGCTACCGAAATTCCACATTCCACTTATAGTGTTGATTGCATTTTATTGATTTTACTTCTCTAAACCGGAATTTTGGCTCATTAGTAGGCATATATTTTGGTATCTCAGGTAACTTTGTCGATCGCCCTTAAGATAACTGATTAGCTTT